CTCTCTCTCTCTCTCTCTCTCTCTCTCTCTCTCTCTCTCTCTCTCTCTCTCTCTCTCTCGTATAACGGTCACGAAAAACTTTACGGGAGGAGATATTCGTACTTGTTGTCGAGCATCTTCCACGTTGCCACGCCTACGCATATTCAACAACGATCGTCCTCGGGGGCCCGAAATATGCGGCGTATCTTCGCCACGTTGCCGGCATAGGGGATCGGTTGTATAAACGATTTAACGCGCTCACCGTGCAAACACGGCGTTAAGGCAATGATCTTAGGTGGCATGCATTACGCGAATACAAATGGCCTCTTGATGTATACACAGTGCGCGCACCTTGAACGTACACTTAACGGCGCGTGACTGTACTACTACTTGCCAACCGTCCTCGGTGATTTTTTTTCTTTTTATTTTTCCTCTTTTTTTTTTTTTTTTTTTTTCCTCTTTTTTTTTTTTTTTTTTTATTAATATTTGCTCTCGTAGATAAGATACTGTAAAAACGAGTATCTTATAAGTATAACGCAAACAACGTTATTTCGTTTATCGACTGTAACGATGGATGTCTATTATTTTATCTCATAGTTATAGATCTTTTCATTCAAAAGTCAGCCGATAAAATGATTAATCGGAACGAAGGAGCGAATCGTTCCGGGAAATCGTGATTATCATCGAAGAGTTATTCGAAGTCGCGTTAGCTGTTCTGACGATCAGTTTTCATAAATCGCGCGTCATCGGATTAGCCAGGATAGTTTGATTACAGTTTCTAACACTTCGGATCGTTGTTATAGTTTATTACGCGGTGTGTCATAAGGAAGGAATGAATTACATTGAATCACGTCGTCGTCGTCGTCGTCGTCGTCGTCGCGAATCGCGGTCGATCGAATTGGAGTCCCTCCGGTTTCGAATAAGGAAAGTGTACAGTGTACACACGGATCGGATCGATATGGATCGTATAATTCGAAACACCGAGTGTAATCAACGATCGAGAACGGTGTGCGCGAAGAAAAATGACGACATATAGGAAGGAGGTCGGCTAGGTTAGAAATCTCCTCTCACGAGATTGTTTTCCTCCTTCCTGATTCCGTATCGCGCGACCTTCTTTTTCACAATGGCCGCCGTCACTCGACAGACGTTGCGTGACGGACACTTTACCGTACAAGGATTACATTTCGTACGTGGTTAGGATCGAAAACGCGTAAACGCGGACTAGACGTTTTGCGTCACTGCACACTGGTTGGATCTGGATAGAAATGTTCCATTGAAAAGAACCTTCGAAAGAGGAAATTGTTCGTGTCGAAAAGAATATAATTTTGTCCCCATGTATGCCAATTTGTGTAAATAAAACGAACATATAACACCGTAACGGAATGTTCGAGAAAGGAAAATATGCAGAATTTCACGCTCGAGCGAATTATCGATTGCAGATTATACAGTCGCATCCCCCGATCTATTTGCGTCTTACGTGACTAGCCATGTCATCGAGTCGGTTGGCACGACTAGCCGTTGGCACTACTCTCGTCACCGCCGTTAATAAACTCGTGTGTTGACTCGGGAATCGTTCTCTCCTCCGACACATTGAAACCATCGTCGTAATATATACGATCCTTATTAATCCAACAGTCAGAGTTAGTTAATATATCCGTATCCGTACAGTGATACGTGCGCCAGTCCATTCTACTAATCCATCCATTTCTCGTTTTCGCAGATGTACTAAGAAGACAAATTATGGTGGCAGAAATTGTCGCCCGTCAGAGTGGATCGCCCATCAATGGTGAGACCGCGTGTCTGAACAGCAATATGCCGGCCACTCACACGATAGCGCACACGAGCCACGGTGGCCACGGTGGCCACGATGCCCACGGGCCCCTGCCGCCCCTCACCCATCCCGTCCATCATGGCGCGCCACCGTTAACGTTGCAACAACAGCAGCAACAGCAGCACCAGCACCAGCCCCAACACCAACCGCCGCCGCCCCAACAGCAAGCCCCGCAGCAACACCACCACCACCATCAACCGCAGCAACAGACGCAGCAACAGCAGCAGCAGCAACAGTCGCATCACCACCACGACGCCCAACAGGTGACACATCCAGAAAATTTCCCCCCGAACTTCGACATCAGAAAAGAGCTATTTTCCCAGCGCAAGCAACGGGAGTTCATTCCGGACAACAAGAAGGACGACAGCTACTGGGACCGTAGAAGGCGTAACAACGAGGCGGCCAAACGATCGCGAGAGAAGAGGCGTTTCAACGATATGGTGCTCGAGCAGCGAGTGATGGAGCTCAGCAAGGAGAATCACATTTTGAAGGCGCAACTCGAGGCAATACGCGATAAATTCGGGATATGCGGCGAGTCCGTGATCAGCACCGAGCACGTGTTGGCGGCGTTGCCTACCGAGCCGCCAATAGGCGTGAAAAGGGCGAAAATACCGCCCTCTGCGGCTCTTCTCTACGCGAGAACTCCGAGCCCTGTCCACACGTCGGTCATACATCAGCCGGTAAGCGGCGCGAGATCGCCGAGATCGCCGGCGCAGCTGTACGTGGCCGAGACGCCCTCGTATCCTGAAACGGAGAGTTTCCAATACACTTACCCCCACCCGGCCATGCATCTGGACACGACGAGCGCCCTCAGCCTGTCGCGCGGTCGACGCGCCCAGTCACCGTTCGAGTTGTCGTCGGGGAGCGGGGACGAGGGGCCCCAATTGGTCGTAAGCTCGCAAAATCCGGCAGCCAACAACAGTCTACCTCACAAATTGAGGCACAAGTCGCGCATAGGCGACAAGGACGCGGCGAGCGCTCTGCTGGCCCTGCAAGGTATTAAACAGGAGCCGGGGCCGAGGGCGTCACCGCCATGGGACAACGAAGGCTCGAGCGACGAACGCGATTCGGGCATCTCATTGGGCGCCGAGTGGACCGGCTCGACCGTTACCACCGTTCCCGAGAACGAGAGGGAGGTAAAGTCGAGGTTGGATCGTCTCGCCTCCGAGGTGGCGTCCCTGCAATCGATACTTCGCATCGGGAAACCGGCGGAGAGCAGTCTGGTCACGGGTCACTCGTTACCCCCGAACGCCGCCGTGAACGGGCCGTGAAACGAGCGGGCCTCGTCGTATCCTCTTCATTAGATTTTTCGAAGGAAACGGGCGAAACACGTTGCTCTTTGTATCGCGACGATTTCTCGAACGCGAGAATGGCGAGAGAGAGAGAGAGAGAGAGACTTTTCGATCGCACGCGCAAACGAACGTGACGATGACGATATTGATTGATATGATAGATAATAGATGGGAGTAGCAGTCGAGTGATCGTCGCTTGATTTATACGTTCTTTCTTCATATATGCGTATAAAAGAATCGAAGCAGAGAGACGAAGAGGAAGAAGTGTATCACCTGTCGAACGATTACGATTACCAACTTTTTGCAGTATTGGATCAGCGTGTACTTGTTTTGATAATGGCGGCCAATTGAATACGTTTCTTCTCTTGTTTCTAATAAGGACTAAGGAACTAAACACGATCGACGAGACGAATCGAGGATGCGTTTCACTGTTTTTTTTTTTTTTCGGGTGCCCTGTTTGCCAAAATGGGACTCCCTCTTCTGTCCCACGGTATCGTAAGGATTAGATGATAAGATGCGATATCTGTAGGCTATAAGTAACTTATGTAAGTAAGACTTTCTTAGAATATTTTCGTTTAATTATTATTATTATTATTATCATTATTATTATTATTATTATTATCATCATTATTATTATTGTTATTATTGTTATTATTATTATCATTGCTGTTCATTAGCGAGTTCATTTTACTTGATTGGAAAAATGGTGCGGCGACTAATCAGGCCGATAATCTATTTGTGCACTTAGATTCGAAGCAACGATTCGAATATTCGATAACTCGAAGATTCGATATATTCAATTCGATGCGACGATTCTTTGGCGAATGAGAAAACCAAACTCGTCGATTCGAAGATCTTCGGACGACTCGTTTTTATTTATCCTCGTTGAATTAAAATTCTTATATTATAAT